CATGCATATTAATCTCAATTTAGATATCTGAGTCACTGATTATCAGGCACTGAGAATGACAGAATTGCTAAATAGCTTTACGGAACAGTTTCCCTCTACCCTGGATTTCAGATGTCAAAAATCACTGCGTGCTGGAAGCTGCATTATTACTATCAGTCACTTTTCTAGAAAACTCAAGAAGATAGTGAATTTCAAAAACATCTGGACTCAATTTCATTAAATTCATTATTCTCATGGTTCTGTAAGGCATTCTTTGGTTTGAAATCAATACAAGACAGGGATAATACAAGTCATGATACTGTTTAGATATCTAACAGTAATTTTCAAGAGTCTCTGGAATTTGGGGTGCCTGGGTGGCTCAGTCGTTAAGCGTCTGCCTTCAGCTCAGGTCATGATCCCAGGGTCCTGGGATCGAGCCCCACATCGGGCTCCCTGCTCAGCGGGAAGCCTGCTTCTCCCTCTCCCACTCCCCCTGCTTGTGTTCCCTCTCTTGCTGTGTCTCTCTCTGTCAAATAAATAAATAAAATCTATAAAATAAAAAGTCTCTGGAATTTATTAGAGACTTTTCTTAACACTGTTTTTTTTTTTTTTAGAGTTCAAGTCATTGATGAAGCACCTTTATTCTGATATATTCTTTTTTAAGTCAAGGAAAAACTTATGTACAAATCTTAAAAACATAAATTATGAACACATTTGTGTAATTAACAGTCAATTAATATATGAAACGTTTCCACTACCTCCAGAGATTCCCGTAACTTTTTCCAGTGAATCTCACCTCCTATAGGCACCCATTGTTCAGATTTCAATCACCAGAGATTAATTTTGCCAGTTTGGAGCTTCATATAAATGGAATCATACAGTATGTATTTTTTTGAGATTCATCCTTGTTTGTGTTATTAGTCCATTTTTTTTATTGTTGCGTGGTATTCCATTGTATGACTATACCATTTCTAGTAGTGATGTAAATTGGACTATCATAAGTAATACTGTTATGACTACTCCACTTTTGGTGGGCATAAGCACCAGTTTTTCTGAGTTATACACCTGTGGGTGGAAATGCTGGGTCATAGGGAATAGTAAGTTTCTCTTTAGTGATTGCTAACCAGTAGTTTTCAGATGGGTTGTAATGACTTATACTTCCACCTGTAATGCCTGGACTTGCAACTGGAGTCCAGTTGCTTCACAGCCTCAGTAACACTTAATATTTTCAGTCCTTTTAATTTTAGCTCTTATGGTGAGGATGTAGAGGTATCGTGTCTGTTCAAATTAGTCTGATTTTTTGTTTTTAATTACTGATTTGTAGGAGTTCCTTATGCAATCTGTGAACAAGCCCTTGGACAGATATTTGTAGTACAAATATTTTCTCTCACTCTATGGCTTGCCTTCATGGTATTTTTGGAAGAGAAGAAGCTTTAAAATTTGCTCTTGTCCACTTTGCCTATTTTTTTTTCTTTTTTTAGGCAGTGTTTTTTGTGTCTTTTCTAAGAAATATTTGGCTACCCCCCAAATTAGAGACATATTCTCCTAAGTTTTCCTCTAGAACCTTTAGAGTCATGTTTTATATTAAAGCTGGGGTCAATCCTGAGTTAATATTTATATAAGGGACAAGATTCCTTTTTTCCCCTATATTTAATAAGTATCATTCCCTTGCTATTTACAAACTTTCCTTTCTCCATTGAAATGTTTTGTTGCTTTTGTAGAAAATCAAATGACCAGATAAGTATGGGTTCACTGTTCTATTTTATTGGTCTACTTGCCTGTCTCCATGTTAATAACACACTGTCTTGATGACTCTAGCTTTCTACTAAGTCATGTGATAAGGAGGTGTAAATTCTCCAACTTTCTCAGTCTTTTTCAAAATTGTTTTGGCCATTTTCAGATTCTTACATTTCCATGTTGATTTTAGGATCAGCTCTCTTTCAACTGCTACAAAGAAGTCTGTTACAATTTCTGATAAAGAGTATGTTAAGTGTATTAATCAATTTTGGAAGAATTGACATCTTAACATGTTAATCCATTAATGTGGTATACCTTTCAATCTACATAGATAGGTCTTTAAAAATCTTCTCTCAACAATATCCTGTGGTTTTCAGTGCTTAGGTTTTATATGCATTTAATTAAATATATTCTCAAATACTTTTTATTTTTATGCTATTATAAATCATATTGTATTGAAATTTTTATTTCCAAGTTGTTTGTTGCCAGCATACAGAACTACAATTGATCCTACAACTCTGTTAAACTTATTCATCAGTTCTAGTAGCTTTTTAGAGATTCCTTAAAATTTTCTTTGTAGAAGCTCATGTTTCTGCAAATAAAGACAGTTCTTTTTATTTCTATCCAATCTATACTTTATTTTCTTCTATTTATTTTAATGGCTAGAGCTTCAAATGCCATGTTGAAAAGAAGTGGTAAGAGCAGATATCTTGAACTTAGCATGAAAGTGTTCAATATTTCACCAGGAAGTATTATGAAAGCTATTGACACTTTTTACCATGTTGAGAGAGGTCCCCTATTTCTAGTTTGCAGAAGGTTTTTGTAATTAGTTTCTTTTGAATTTTGTCAAATGCCTTTTTTGCATCTATTGACATGATAGTAGGATTCTTTTTTCTCTTAGTATAGTAAATTACTTTAAATGATTTTTTAATATTAAATCAACTCAGGTCATAAAGTGTACTCTTTTACTATATCGCTGGATTGGATTTGCTAACATTTAAAGGAATTTTCCAACTAGGTTCATGACAGATATGGGTATGTAATTTTCTTTACTTGCAAAATCTTCATCAGGTTTTGTCAGGGTTATACTGATAATTTTCCCTCTCACTCTGTGTTAAAACTGGCATTATTTCTTTTTGAAAAGCTTGAGAGAACTCACCATCTCTCAACTGAATTGAGAACTGAAATGAGAATTGAGAACTGAAATGAGAATTAAGAATTGAAACCATCTAAGCCTGAATATTTCTTCATAGAAAGAGTTTAAATTATAAATTCAATGTTTAAAAATAAATACATGGATATACAAATTACAATTTTTTTCTTGTGTTTGTTTTGGTAATTTATATCTTTCAAAGAATTTGACATTTCTTCTAAATTGTCAAATGTATTGGCATAAATTGTGCATAATATTCCTTATCCTTTTACTATGTGTAGGGTCCATAATGATAACTTCTTTTTTATTTATAATTTGTGGGGTTTTTCTCTTTTTAAACTTGCTAATAATTTTATTTTTTTTTCAAAGAACCAACTGCTTTCTTTGTTAATTTTTGCTATTGTTTGTCTTTGTCCTATTTCATTGATTTCTGCTTTTATATTTGTTACTTCCTTCAATCAGCTTTATATTTGTTACTTCCTTCAATCAACTTTATATTTGTTACTTTATTCAATCAACTAGGTTTAATTTTCCTAACTCTGGCTTATTTAGGTGGAAACACAGATGATTGATACATACTTTTGTTCTTTTCTAATATAAGCATTTAAAGCTAATAAAATTTCTTCTAAGCATTGCTTTAACTGCATCTGACAAAATTTCAAAAGTTGTGTTTTCAGGATCATTTAAAATATTTAAAAAATTTTTCTTAACCTGAACAAAGTCAGGTTGTTTTCTTATTTCTGTTGTTTTCATCTCTACTATGAGAAAGGTGTTCTTAAAGATCTCTAAGTTCTCTTTAGATTTACCATTTTCTAGTTAATATTTGGCTGAGTACATGAAATTATAATTTTTATTTGGCCATAGCACACAGTTGCCCTGTAGAACTGGATAGGTTTTAATATTTGTGGTGTTTTTTTGTTTTTTACCACACAATGTATTAAAATATGTTTAAACTATTTTTAGTATGAAAATACTTAAATTTGGAAGATGCTACTCAGTAAGTTTCTCTAGGACTATGCAATGCTATTTTTAAAGTGAAACCATAATCATTGACAATGGGAGACAGAAACCAGAGTCTTCCAAATATAGTAATATATTCAGTCTTCATGTCTTCAGAATAGGTAAAATGTCAATTGGCTATTCCTTATTGTATTCTTTATAATTAAACCATAACCATAAGTATAGTGCTTTCTTGAGTTCTTTGAGTCACTGCAACAAATTGTCAAACCTGAGGAAGGTCATGGGAACCCCTGAATTTATAACAAGTGGTCAGATGGGCTGGTGTCCTTTTTTTTTTTTTT